AGCACTGTCACCCCACAACAACAAGCCCCTGGGTTTGAACCCACTGGTGGCTGGGTCCCTTCTGTGGGGAGTTCTCCACATGTCTGTGTGGGTTCTTTTTAGGTTTTTAGAGACCACAATAAACCAGGAGTTCCACAAACAGACAAAGCTGGATCAGATAACTCAAGAAAGACTCTGTGGCTACAAACACACACACACATACACACACAGAGGTATAATCAGCAGGAATGGATACAGCTGGGTAACAAGAGATAGGTGATGACAATCAGGAACATGAGCCAGGGAGGAAGTACAGGTCAGAGCAAGACATTAGAAATTACCAGAGCAAAAAATGAACATTAACCCTAACTGGCACAATGTGTTTTTTGAATAGAATAACTAATTTCACATACAGTAGGAGTCTCAGTCACTGTGGACATTTTACTGTTCAAAGGATCATCCTCAAGCAGTTAAATATTTTTTCTTTGAAAATCTGGACTTTCACTTTTGCTGCGCTGGAACAAAAAAGCACAGGAGCTTGCTTCTCCAGAGCTTACCCCTGGGTAAATGAGTTAAACGTGAACTTTCAGTGTAAGCCATTGTGCAGTTCATTTGTCTATAATTATATTGCACATAAAATTGATTATTGGTATTCACCACGTCCCCACTCCCCACCCCATTCTCGGGTACTACTGCTCTACCCTGTAGGCAGCCCCAGGCAATGTCAGGGAAAATGCACCTTATGGCTTTTAAACAAGCTTGTACTCCTCATTTGCTCATGTGTGTGCTTTATTTTGGCCTTTGCCTCAAGATAATGGGAGATCACAGACTGAGAATTGCATGTGTGCTTTGGAGGATGGAGGGATGCTTGTGTGTGAAGGTAACTACAGCATCTACAGTATGGGTCTGTATATGCGTACACTCAAAAAAAATAATTCATTGGATGAACGTAATTTCATCTTGCCACTTATATTCCATCTAAACAAATCATGTTATATTAATCCATCTTGATTGTGTTGTTTCCACACAATATATGTTTGTTGTTGTTTGTACCAAGTTAGTCTACTTAAATTTATTTAAAGTCATGTTATATTGTTTAAACACTTTGGCAAGTGAAAAGTCAGTCTTGTTACATGAACTAGTAAAATATTTGTTTGTTACACCAGTGATAATCTTGTTGAATGAACAAATGTAACTTCTGTCTGTAGTGCATGTTGTGTTCATATTACATAATGTTCAACAAAAAAATTCAACGGATTTAGAGCAACTTCCAATCCACCCATCCTCTTATCTTTATCTGGGCTGCGGAAGTGATAGGGTAAGAGGGGCAGGGTACATCCTGGACAGGTCGCCAGACTATCACATAGAGACAAACAACCATTTGCACTTTAACACCTTTGGGTAATTTAGAATCACCAATTACCCTTACCCTAATAACTGCATGACTTTTAACTGTGGAGGAAACCAGAGTACGCAGAGAGAACCCATTGCAAACTTGGCCAGATTGTGGACTTGAACCCAGGACCTTCTTGCTCTGAGGCAACAGCACGTACCACCATGGCATTGAACCATGGTGGTACTCAACAAAAGTAGGAAAGCTATGCTTGATGCAGAATTTTCTTTATGTTTTTGTCCATGACAAGTTAAACCATAGTAAATAGTAATACATACAATACACGTGGTGTGTATGGTTGTCTGCCTCTTCCTGTGGTTTGACATCTCGTGTAATCTTGTGAATTTCGTGAGTCCAGGCAACTAACCACTCTTCCTAGATTGTATCATGTCATCTGAACAAGAACAAATTAAGTTTTTGAATTTCATGCACATCCAACGTGATTTAATTACAGAAGGTATCTATTCTCTCTGCTATGTTAACAAAAGAAAAGCAAGAAGCTGTCGTAAAGACATCAGCATCATGGTGAGGAATTTGAGAGGGAAAATGGTTAAAGAGCAAACAACACCAGAAGCAAAGAGAGCGACTCTGTTAGACTGTGAATTATTGTACTGTTTCAGCAACATTCTTTCTTCCCTGTTATGCAAATTGGACAAATTTGAATGTGAAAACAAGAAATAAAGTGATTTTGCAGAGTATGCAGATGATTGAGAGGGCTTTCTATATAAGCACAGAGATACAAATCAGAGAATAACATGGACGGCCGTGGATGTAGAGGCTTGAGTAATGCAGACAAAGGAAGGACATCAGATTTATGGAAGGGTATGCGCAGAGAAACAGAGATGTTTGACAGACAGAGCGAGTAATTAAGAATCAAAAAACAGACTGTACATTAACAAAAAAGGAGATGCTCGTGAACAAGTGAAGGGGGAGCAACTAGATGTAAATGTAGGAGATGTCCCTGGAGACCTATTGTGTCCAGTGCTTTAACTGTGGTGATGATGTACCATGCCGCTGGTCCCTTCCTCTCATTAAAGCTTTATGAAGCAAGCTTAGCACACATTTTATTACAATGACGCCACTGTCTGGCACATTCCAGCCTTGCGGCAGGGTGGTGTTGGTGGAGAGGGTTTCAGAAAAAAAAAAAGCCAATAGAGGCATAGATCAGAAAGGGAATCAAGAGAGAAAGGAAGACAGTGAGTGTAAGAAAGGCAAAACCAACATCAGGAAGCACGAATAGAAAAAAGAAGAAGCGATAGACGGAGAACAGAAGCTAAGAATGAAAGCTCAGATGAATGAAAAGTGGGATTTCAGTTATGTGCTCTGGGCCTGTGTGTATAGTTGCAGCTGTCTTGGTATTGTATAAAAATAGACTGGTTTGGGATTAAGGCTATCAATATTTCTTTAGGTTTTGATGGAGGCCCATGAGGTAGAGGGAAAATTCAAATTTGAAGACAAGTGATGTCATAAGCTGCATCTAAGCCAGAAGTTTCAGTCAAATTTCAAAAGAAGTCATCAGCTGGCACAGGAGCTCTGCTCCAATCTGCTACCCAGGATGTCAGCTCACATGTTCAGTGCTTCAGTTCTATTATTTCTCATTCTGCTGGGTTTTTTCCTTAACTCAAAATAGTTGATCCTTTTACCACAAATTCATCCAAAATCAAGCCAGTTGTACTGAGATTTATACATACAAATGGATTTTCTTTAGCATTTATAATAGATGAAACTCCAAGTACTGCACTTTCCTGGCACTTCACTAAAAAAGTACAATCTTTTTTTATTATCTTATAACACAACCTCATTTCAGCATCGCTTATGTTACGCTCATGTGCACTGAAATATCAACCGAAATCTGGGAAAAAGTTGTAAAACTCATTTGTGAAGACACTAAGAACATTGACTTTAAGAACGCCATGACTCAGCTACTGCTGAATGACGCATGCTAAGTACGTCTAGTATGCTAGTTCTCTGAATTGAAGACATTTAGCTCCTGTCATAATCAGAGACTAAATCCCTGCCTTATCGCCTCCTGGGTGTAGGGGCCTCAGCTTTGTTTAATTGCCACAAGCCCAAGCGTCAAAACTGCATCTCCCTCAGTGTTTACCCCCACTGAGGCTTATAGCTGATAATGGAATTACTCTGAGTCCCAGGGGGAGGGAGAGCAGGAGGAACAGGAAGAGGAGGCAGCTATAGATGAAGGAAAGTGGATGATGGTGGAAGCTGAAAGAGAGAGGATGGATGGAGCATCTGCCTGGAAAACTAAAGAAAGGGGCAAAGGTATGAGGTGATGTGATGCACAAGAAGATAAATAGGGGGAGAAAGACAGGAAGGAATTTAGAGTAATGCCTGACAGTTGCCAAAAGCAAACCCTGCAGTCTTCGTGCCTTACTGTTTACTCCAGTGTGACGTATGATGGGGCGGAGAATGAATTATGATGCAGGGTAGAGCTGAAGTCTAAAAACATGGCTGTTTGAAAGAAAGGAAGAATGGGACTTAGAAAAGAAAGAGGAGGAGGGAATAAGAGGATAAAAGAGAAAGTGGGCAGCCGAAGTGAAACATTAAATCCTATAAAAAGAAATAAATGATGACACAGTTTTCTTAGACTTCACTCGCTTAATTTCTGTCCTCTTCTTTTTTTGAGAATATGGAGGATTCCTCTGTTCACATACCAAATGCTTTTTTCTTGGTTGAGCTACAAAGATGAATGACAAAACAAAGCAGAGGGTAGAATTTTGCAGAAGCGACATAGCGGAAGATGTCAGAGCTTTTTAGTCTTCTCTCTGTCGTGTTTGAAAGCTTCCGGATGTTTGGCGACTGAGCTGCAGTGCTGTAGCAGAAAATGACTATATTTGAAGTGAACTCGTGGCTTGGTCTCGGATTTTTTATTTATTTTTTTGGCTCTGCATGTCTGTATGTGTGCAGAGATGGATCTTAAGGATCTAAAAGCTGTTGGGAGTTTGGATTTCATTTTAATTTTCTCAAAAAAGGCATAAGAAGCAACATGAATTTTGGCAACTGGGAACGATTTTGTGTGAGCATTTGAAAATGTCTTGTCAGGGAGCTTAGGTTGGCGTCTGGTTTTCAACCCATGCCCCTGCAAATGTTTGTGCTTGTAATTTATAACTACATGTGGAAGTACATAAGAAGTGGCAGGGAGGGCTATTGTGTTGGGGCCTGTTTTGGGTGAAATAAAAGTCATTTTGCAAAGGCAGTCTAATGTGAAAATGACTGATGTATTTTCAAGATCTGTTCTGTTTCATTAGGCATTTGCAAAATCAGTCACACACACAACTCAAAAATAAATTAAAGAAAAAATGCAGTTTGTGGGTCTAATTAGGAGTGTAAAGTTAGTGCATAGCTGACACAAGTTGAAGCCGTCTCTCATTAAAATTGGTTCACATGTGAAACCCGATTCCACAATGTGAATTTAATTAAGGGCTTCTCCATCCTCCCTTCTTGCTGTTTTTGGACCGTTTCTCTAGCAGCTGAGTCACTGAGTATAATATAGTGTCATATAGTATTTTTGTCGACTTACCCACTTTTTTTCCTTCTTCTACCTGGATCCCTTTTGTGTCCGACACCTTATCCCCCGACCCCTCTCCATCTTCCACCTCTTCTCTGTCCACAGTCTGTTCTCAGTATTCAAGGGGGGTCTTCGCTATCTTCGGCCTTTACGACAAGCGTTCAGTAAACACGCTGACATCGTTTTGTGGGGCCCTGCACATCAGCCTAGTGACACCCAGCTTCCCCACTGAAGGCGAGGGCCAGTTCACGCTGCAGCTTCGGCCGTCCATCAGAGGAGCTTTGCTGTCCCTGTTGGACCACTATGACTGGAGCCGATTTGTCTTCCTCTACGACACAGACAGAGGTAAATGCCCAGCAATGACTGTGCTAATGTTGCATGTAAAAACAGTTCGAATATATAGTGGTCTTATGACCAAGACAAAATCTGACCACTTCTAATTTTCTTCTACTTAACTTTTATTCCTTCTGAGTTTTAAAGAGCAAAGTCAGAAAAAAATCACAGAAAAAAAATCCAAGCGCTAATGGGCAGGTGTGTCATTGTTTTCATAGGACTCAATGCCATTCTGTTAATACTACATACACCACATGATCCAGTAGCTTCTGGATCCATCCTTGGTGTTAAAAAAATTTTTAAAATTAAAGTAATAATTTTCTTTTTGATTTTTAGTATTTCACATTTAATTCAATTCAGTTCAGTTTTATTTTATAGCACAAAATCACAACAAGAGTTGCCTCATGGCACTTTATATTATAAAGGTAAACACCTCACAATTATACAAAGAAAAAACCCAACAATCATATGACCCACTATAAGCACACACTTTGGCAACAATGGGAAGGAAAAACTCCCTTTTAACAGGAAGAAACCTCCAGTAGAACCATGCTCAGGGAGGGGCAGCCATCTGCCGTGACCAACTGGGAGGTGAGACAGGATAAAGACCTGCTGTGGTTAGCTCGCTCTGCTTTATAATGTTGTAATTTGAGGTTTTCGTGCATTTGCTTAAGGTCCCGCACACTGTCTCACAGCATTGAGGGCTAGACTTCGACTGGGTCTTTGCAGCACCTTGGTTCTTTTCTTTTACAGCCTATCTGTTATAGATTTGCTGCTGAGCTTGGGATCATTGTCCTGTTGGATGACCCAAGTCCTGTGGCTTCAAAACAAGCCCCCAAATGATCAACCCTCCATGCTTGTGCTTAACAGTTGGCATGAGGTGTTTGTGCTGATATGTTGTGTTTGGTTTTCACCAATCTTGGCACTTTGCTGGGCATCTCCACTTTGGTCATGTCTTTCCAATGCAAGCACTAAAGCCTTGACATTTTTTTTCAAAAGCATCTTTGCAAACCTAAGTCATACAGCCCTGTTTTGTTTTTGTTTTTTAAGGGGAGGCTTTCTCATGGCAGCCTTTCAAAAAAAGTTGTACTTTTTTACCAGTCAATCTTCATCTAATTGTGCTGTGACAAACTTTAACATTTAACACACTTACTGAGGCCTATAGACCCTGAGACCTATTGCTTGGAGGTGTTTTGCATTTCTAAGGCCGAGCATTGCATTGTTTGACTATATGGTGGATTTCCTGGGACGTCAGCTCCTGGGAAGATTGCAGCATTGAGCTAAAACATTCCTGAATCCTCCAGAACATCAAACTGTCAAAACTTTTTCTTTCATAGAGGTGCTCAGACTTGCAGATGATCAGTTAATCAAGGACATTTGATTAGCAGCACCCAGCTGCTACTGACCCTCTTAATTCCTATAAAAGCAGTAAGGGCGTACCCCTCTTAGCCTTAACCCTTTCTTTTCTTTTTTTTTTCTTTTTTTTCATAAAGTAACTCCCATATTTAGCCCTGTGTTCTCATGGAAACACAAAGGTTTTATTACTGGCAATGGGCGACCGTGGCTCAGGGGGTTGGGAATCGCATCTGTAACCGGAAGGTCGCCGGTTCAATCCCTCGGCTCTCTGTCCTGGCCGTTGTGTCCTTGGGCAAGACACTTTACCCTACTGCCTACTGGTGTTGGCCAGAGGGGCCGATGGTGCGATATGGCAGCCTCGCTTCTGTCAGTCTGCCCCAGGGCAGCTGTGGCTACAACTGTAGCTTGCCTCCACCAGTGTATGAATGTGAGAGTAAATGAATAGTGGTATTGTAAAGTGCTTTGGGTGCCTTGAAAAGCGCTATATAAATCCAATCCATTATTATTAATGAGCAGACTTTATAAGGACAGCAGCTGAAACAGTGGTGATTTGGCACTTTTCAGCCAGAGACAAAGATTTGGCCTCAGCTCTCGCGGCGTTCACCTGCTTTTGATTCGACCATGCCATAATGCAGCACACGCAAGTTAGTGGAGCAGGCACAGCTGATGCCCTCAGACCCTAACCACTGTCATGGGGATGCTTGGCACGTTATTTCTCTCACACACACCTACATGTGTGCACAAATAGACACACACATACACTCCCACACAGACTAATCCCCAGCCACAGGGAGTGAAACACAGGTCAAACATGACGTAAAGTCCCCAGACCGTACTATAGTGGGTGTGTGTGTGCATGTGTGTAGGTGCCTCAGCCAGCATCCTGTGGCCTTCGTTGTTTTAAGTTATTACCTGGGGGAGCAAAAGGGGAAAAAAAGAGGAAGGAAAAGGGGGAACAGGAAACACAGGTTAGGTCAGTCGTGCTGGTGGCAAAGTCAAAAAGACAGAAAATTAGCTGTGAGTCATGAGAGGAGGAGACAAACAAGGTGACGGGGGCAAGGGCTAGGAAGAGGAGAAAGTGGAGGTAGATGGGGGGGCAGTGGAGGATGGCAGGGGGAGCATTACAGAAAGGAGGAATAAGTAGACAGACAAAATCACAAGCCTCTGGGGATGTACAGTAGCATATAGCACAGGAAGGAGGGGAAATGTTTGAGAGAAAGGGGGATGGGAGGGAGAAATGGAGCGAAAGATGGATGCGTAAGAATTTGGGCTGTACTCACCCATGACTTGGCCAAGGCAGGGCCCTTCATTACAGGCTCCCATCAAGACCTGCTGCCTGTAATGTGCTGGAAAATAGGCAGTAACACTGTGATCTGTTTTATGCACCCTGCTCTGCTCCAGAGACAGCTGCTAACACGCACTCACAGAGGCACGAACTGTGGATGTCCACAGAACTGCACATGTGCATGCAAAGGCAAATGCATTCACAGACAAATTCAAATAGATTACATTAGTGCATACCCATTTCTGAAAGCATTAGATAATATGTGTAAAAACAGTACATAGGAAGGCACACATACTGCAAAACACCTGAGTAACTTACAATATAATCAGTTTGTATTCTGCAATTAGTTTTAATTCTGATTTCATTTCGATTTTTTTTGTGTTCAATACAGTTTAGTTTCTGAAGCAGATAAGTTCATTTGAGTTTAGTTTTTATCCACTCTTTCATTTTCTTCTGCCTCACCAGTTCAGGGTTGCAGGTGTGCTAAAGCGGTCACAGGGCGAAAGGCAGGGTGCAATGCAAAATGATGATTTTTAGTTTAGTTTTTATTAGCTAGTCTTAAACTGGTTATTGCAGTAAAAACAAAGCACTTTGTGAAGGCGGTTGACTCCAGGTCACGCACACCTGCTAATTCTTAATAAACAAAATCAGCAAAGTCTCATCCAGGCAGGTTGTGATGACACATGTGAACAAAATGTCAAAAACAAATTTTCTTTTAGTTTAGTGGATTTCGTAAGTTCACAAAATCGTTTTTGTCAGTTTATTTTTCTCCAAAAGTTGGGTTATTTTTTACACCAAGTTTTACCTTTTTAGAGTTTTAGGTTAAGTTTTAGGCACAGACATTTTCATTTAGACACATGTATGATTCTATATAGCATCAGTCTAGTGGTTAAAAAGGTCAAACTAGAGTGTGTGCTTTCTCGTCTTGTGTTTTAGAAGACTCCCGCTGTACTCGTGTTTCTCTGCCTTTGTGTCCATGTGACTTTCAGCGAATTGTGATATCATTTTATTTTGATTGAATCTGCTTTGCTCAGAGAGTTAGCATCAAGGTTTGTTTCAGCGCTCATTGTGATAGAAACATGGCCGCATGCCAATATTAAGAAAGAATATTGCTGTTGCATTGTGTTATTACTTATTATTACATGTTTCCCATTTGTCTTGACCCAACATGACACTTGTTCGGTGTAATATTATATCCATTGTCACTCATGTTGACACCTTCTGCTTGTTTGATCAAGTCAGATTCATTAGAAACACATTAAGAAGACAGCCTGTTCAAAGGTGTGTTGCCTCATATTGTAGAAGCAGAAGTCCATTTTATAGTTTTGATTCCAGACTATAAATACTAAGTATTTACACATGAATTACTTTTTAATCCTATTTTACTCTTAAGGGGGAAAAGGATTGAGAATTTAATTTCAATGAAATGTCAACACTGAGTGTCAGAATTCGACAGACAATTCAGACGTTACACTTTGCAGGCTGGAAGATAAAAAATTAAGTTGAAGATGCGTTAAATGCTAAGCATTTTGCCCCTAGTTTTTAAGCGTAATGCACACCTGGAAACAGTTTTGCTAATTCTGGTATAGTGTGCAAAGGTTTTACCTCAACTATGATTAGGATAACAGATTTTGAAAACACGAGCACTTTTATTTATTTAGTTTTTTTTCTGGAAAAAACAGCAAAGCATAATTTATCCATTTTTCAACTGCATCATGTACCTAGTGCAGCATTAATTCTCTTTTTTGCTTCCCTTACTCTCTGTTGTTTAGGTTATGCAATACTGCAGGCAATTATGGAGCGAGCGGGGCAGAACGGATGGCAGGTCAGGACACACACAAATGCGCAAATTCTTGGAAACCTGCTAAAACACACACACATGCACAAGAATTGTCATGCTTTCTCAGAGCGCACAACTAGTATATTAATTTAAACATCCACATGCACACACTGTGCTCCCATGCTGTGTATTCACATTTCTGTGATTAGTTCTTCAAATAGCTTTTTCATTTGCTTGAGGTTTACATGCATGACTCTATCCATGATGTCTTCTCTTGTGTTCCTGCGCGCATTTGACATGTACAGGTGAGTGCAATCTGTGTGGAGAGTTTCAATGAGGCGGCGTATCGGAGACTCTTAGAGGACCTGGATCGACGGCAGGAGAGAAAATATGTCATTGACCTGGAGCCTGAGAGACTACAGAGCATCCTGGAACAGGTACTGTTATTGGGAAATTTAACCAACAAGATTGTGAATACTTCAGTCTAAAATCCAAAATAGTGCTTAAGCCAGCAAACCATGTAACTCATGTTAGTTGAGTATGGAGGTTGAATATGGAGAGATTTGTGGTGCAGATAACTTAGCAGGATGGAAAAACATGGAATAATTAACAGGTCTATTAAATGTTAAATAATTCTGTTTTAGAGTAAGTTTGAGGTTGTTATTGCCATTTATTAATAATAATGGATACTTTATTGATCCCCATGGGGAAATTACTTGTTTTTCTCTGCATTTGACCCATTCACTCAGTGAAGCAGTGGGCAGCCCACTAAGCAGGCGCCCGGGGAGCAGTGTGTAGGGACGGTACCTTGCTCAGGGGTACCTCAGGGTAGCCGTTAAGTGGATTCGAACCGCCGACCTTCCGATCATGGGGCGACCACTTTACCTACTGAGCTATCCCTGCCCCTTATTAATGGCTACATTACATTTACAGCATTTATAAATACTCTACAGTCCCTGGTTACAAGTAATAAAAGGTCTGACACTGATCTGGATGCTAAACAAGATCATGAGATCGAGTTAATGGCTGCCCAAATATCACTGAGTGAGGGCAGAGATGACATTACTGACCTGCACTTAACACTTAATGAGATACAGCCAAAGCACAATGATACGTTTTTAGATCCTTTTAACCACATAATAGGTTGTGTTAAGTAATGAGGTGAGACCCTGTGAGAAATAGTGAAAACAATTAGAATTAAAGTTAAGTTACTAATGACTGTAGTACCACATAATGGAGATTTTTCACCGTACCACTAGTGTCTGCCGACTGTCTGCTCCACTCAGCTGGTTGCAGCAGCTCGCCTGATGCTTTCTGACATCTGGAAAGAAAACAAGATTTGAGTTTTTCCCTGGAGTTCGTAAATGTGGAATGAAAAACTGTGACTTCCCCAACAGTGTGTGATTGCAGTAATGACAGTAAAGAGTCCTATCGCACACAGATTTCAAGCATATACCCACGTAATAAATATCAAGGCATGCGCTCGGACACCTTATGGCTGTCTGAGTTCATTAGATTGTCTGTCTTGTTTGATGGTTAAGTCTTGAGCTCTGACAGGTCTCAGGAGTGTGTGTGAGAAAGATAGAGCGTGTGACTCAGGGCTGCAACATCCCATTGGTCCTGCCACCTGTCATTACATGTGATCCTCACTTTGCATATGTGATAAACTCACTAACACAAACATACACACAAGCACATTCACTAATGCACATACCTCTCAGAAACTCCTACAATTACTGGTAACACACAGAAATTTAATATATGTAAAAAAAAAAAAAGCTAAAATTACAGCATTACAATGCACATAGTCATACAGCTACACAGACACAAACCCACACTAGTAGCGGCATCTCAGACACACAGACTGTTTCTTAATTGGCTTCTGTGCTGAGTGAACAGACAGACAGGAGGCGCACGCACAAACGCACACATGTGTACTGAGACGGGCATACAGACACAAACACACACACTAGTCAGCTCTGCAGAGCTGGCACTGGCTTGCATCCCTGCTCTGAGACAGAGACTGCTCTGTTTGTCTGCCCCTGCCAGCTGCGATCTTTGTGTGTGCACGCGCGTGTGTGTACGTACATCTGTCTGCGTCAGTACAAAGCCGCTGATATGTGTGGGTGAGAGAGAGACAAAGAAAAATGTGAACAGTTTGTTAATTAGGTTTATGCCACTTGTTAATCTCAATATGCATTCGACCACTTTGTCAGAATTCCCACAGTCTGCTGTATTTTCGCTCCATTTCCCTATATGGATAATATCAGTGACCAAAAACTCACGGGTTTTAGTTTTGAGCAGAAATATTTTTACCTTATAGGTCACATTTGAAATCAAATAGCAAACAAAAAAAAAACAAAAAATGAAAAGAGTGAAATCATCTGCAGCTTTTATAACCCATATATTGTGTTTGGGTCAGACTTGACCTGTTTTCAAGTTTAGGTAAAGTATTATATGCTTTCTTTCAGTGGAACTACATTTCTCAAAAGCAGCTATTTCAACAAAACAAATTAAATTTTATCATTTCAATTTGAATGTCTCCAAAAGACAAAGTACTGGCTGTTTTCTGCATCACTAAAACATTTTAAAAGTCTGCAGAGTTTTTAGCCAGCATGGTACCAAAGTCTTCATCATTTTATCCTCCTTTAATCAGCATAATAAAGTAACCACAGCACCACTGTTAAGGAAGGTAATGGAGCAAGAGATGGAGGAAATCACCTTTTTGTCCTTGTCACCCCTGTCGTGCTCCCTAATGCTACTTTTCCCCTGGTTTCCAAATTAAATCCACGTTTTCTCTCCCCCTCTCTCTTTTCAGGCTGTCAGTGTGGGGAAACATGTCAAAGGTTACCATTACATCATAGCAAACCTGGTAAGGATGCTGGCGTTGCTTTCAACTGTTGTCCTGCTGTTTTCTGAAACACGTTTCCTGTTGGTGTAATATTTTATTCCAAAAGCCTACTTAAGAATCCACAGTTGACATGCAATACTAGACAAAACAAGATGGACCTTTGAAGAATTTTTCTTCAAGTCTTTGTCGTTACAGAGTTGGAGATTTTCTGCAATGATTAAAAAAACATTATCTTAATTATTTTCTATTTATTTCTACCAGATCCTATTATGTATTTTACTAAATTACTATTTTATCATGTGTCTCTCCTTGACAAAGTCACACCTTTGGGAAGCTGCTGGAATCAAGCTCAATAAAATCAGCATTGTTTCAACCTTAATTCCTGAAATCTTTTGAACAGTAGTTCTCTCCAGCACAGTGTAAAAGGGTCCGGCTCAGGTCAGGTTAGATGGAATTTCATTGCTTTTAGTGATTCCTCAATGTTGCAAAGTTTCCACTGTGGGGATGTAATCTGGAGATCTTAGTTTGTGGGAGGACTTTGAACCTTAGACCAGGGGTCTCAAACATATGGCCAGGGGGTCAGAATTGGGCCGACAAGGTCTCCAATCTGGGTCACTGGACAGTTTTGGAAAATGTGAAGGAAGGCTTAAACTTTGGACTTTTAACTAAAGTTTTATGTTTTACAGCTTTTCCTGCTCATAAAGACATCCCCCCATGGCCATTCATACGATACCGAAGTACTTGAGTAGTAGTTAATCAATTAAATGATCTACTGTAGAAAGTTCTGGGTTTTGCTTGACTTTTACAGTGGTTCCACAGTTAGAATAAATACATAAACAAAATAAAACACATTTCTTTATCAGAAAAACTGAGACTTTTTTCTTATATTAAGATATCTCAGGCAATAAATGTGTAGTTAGTGAAGTGTACCTTCTTTACACTGATTAAATGGTTGTTTCCTTGGATATTTCATAAGATGAATATGGACTGCATTACATCGTCTGGTCTGAAGGTTTTTGTGGTTTTTGTGTTACATTGTTCCAAACACATTTCTTTATTTCTGTCATGCTTTTGGTCTACCCAGGGTTTCAAGGACATATCTTTGGAAAGGTTCATGCACGGCGGGGCCAATGTGACCGGGTTCCAGTTAGTGGACTTCAGCAAGCCTATTGTCATAAAACTTATGCAGCGCTGGAACAAACTCGATCAGCGTGAATACCCTGGATCTGAAAGCCCACCTAAGGTAATAAAAACACGTTGCTCTATCATTGAATATGCATTTTGGAAATCTGCGGCAGACAGAGGTCTCGGTACCTGAAACATATTCTTATGTGCTATCTGAAGCACTGAAATAAATTCTACAGCAAAATATGGAATGAAGAAAATGCAGGACTTCCATTCAGACTTACTTCAAAAATGCATGGTATTGAGATAAACAGTTACTTGAAGTGCACGCACACACATTACTGCCATTGATGTGCAAATTGATCTTTGTACCTGAAATTCAACGCAAAAGCTGCACGGAAGGTTTTCAATCAGGTATCCAGCCACAGGGGGATACGCAGTATTTGAACCATTCAGAGTGTGATGTGGTGCATGTGTTACAGCTTCTTAGCCAATCAGAGCATGACCTCAGAATATGGCAGTGAAAAGGCTTATCTGTGATTAAGTCTCAAGGTTAACGTGATGCATACAGATTATGTAGACTAAAGACTTTGGTGTTCTGTGTCTGTTTAGAATAAAATTCTGCTGTCATGTGTCGGCTCTCTCACCTATTTACTCACTTTTCTGAGATATCTTTCTTTAACCTTTATAGTTCCAGCTCCTTATAGATATTCACAATTAAATCCCTTGACAGAGCACTGACCTGTGGGTATATTTATAGAAAAAATGTCCACCTACCCATTAAAAATACATCAGCTGTCAGCCCTCTGCCCGCTTGCTGAAATTGTTTGTATTCAATAATCCTCAAAAAAACACAGTAACGCAGTAACTACTTGTAACTAGTAACAGTGATGCAAATATATATTTATGGTTTTACGATTTCTAATTGGCACGCTATTTTTCACCCAGTCCCAGTGTTAATGAGCTAATCATCAGTTTTAGATTCACCTAATGAATTCTCATTAGTAGATGTCAGCTTCATCAATCGTCCCTTAACATTTACACAACATTTAGTGTGTTAATTGAGGTAAGCCTATTATGCATGATTGTGACAGATAAACACAGTGAACATATTTTGATGCACAAAACAGAAGCAAACACACCTGTAAGTGCTCAAATCTCAAAACCTCTAAACATCTTTGTTTAAGTGCATTCAGAGAATGTATTTACTTTTGCTGCCATGTACATATACTGTGTTACAAACCTGGAAACAATGATTTGAATGATTTAACAGTAACAGAAATCCAGTTACCTCTCGTGACAACAGATGCCTCCAAATTGCTCTTGGCTAATTTTTGCTCTGTAAAAAAAAGAAAAAAAATGAGCTCAGTTAACCTTGGGGCAACTGGTAGCCTTAGGCCAAATAGAAATGTGGCCTGATAATGGGCAGGGTGGGAAATACTACTGAGAATTGTCCCTTCTACACTTGAGGCTGGAATTTGAGCCGCCCATCAATCAAAATCTCTTAACTGCTGGTTTCTCTTTGTTTTGCTTGGAGATTTTATTGAAAAGTAATTGTCAAAGAAATATATTAAGCTCATTAAAATGTTGTAAATAATAATTAGGATCACTTCAGGAGATACAAACAATTTTTCCAAATTTCTGCAAACACTTGATCTGACTTTATGAATGTTGACCACATCTGTGTTAACAGATTTAATCAAAATGATTAATAAGAAGGATTTAATAATGATCATCGTGATAATAATCTTAGTAAACATTAGATTTGCTCACTTAAATTCTACTTTTAGTTATTATTGCTGGTATGAAATTAAATGTTCAGATGTTATTTCCCTCTCAGAAACTCATTTAATATGTTTTTCAATGTAGTGTTTAAATGTTTTTTTTTCTTTTTGTTCGTCTATTAACTTCTTGCACAATCCTGACGTTTTCCATCTTTCTTGTTATTGCTTTTAATCAAATCCAGTTTATCCGTATTTTTTTTTAGCTATTTTCACAGGAAAGACACCCAGGTTCAGAACTTACAGGTGGAAAAGATAAAAAATTTAACATTCATATTGAGTAGAAGGCTGCAGCCCTACTTTAAAAAAAAAAAAAAAGAGCACACAAGCGTAAAAACACAGACACTCTGAAAACGACCAAAGTGACACAGGACTGTATACAGAGCGATGATCAGGGATGAGAGGAAACACAATGGGAACTAGACACAGCTGAGATTAAGCAAGACAATGAAAAGACAGTAAAACTGAAAGCAAGTCAAAAAGAGACAAACAACTCACAAAATAAAACAGGACATAACAAACAGCTAACAGACAAAGTCTCAAAAAGAAGGAAATGCTGGAGAGACAAAATTAGAACAGAACGTAACAGTAAAAGCCTTCACTCACAGACCGTACCGTTCTCCCTCTGAACGAAGACGAACTCGTGCTCAGCCAGTGTTATTCATGACGCCACGTTAAATGCTGTCATGCAAGGACACATCTATAACAGATTCAACAACCCTGGATATCTGGAAAACCAAAAACCCTTCTCAAAACAGGAAATTACAACTATACATGGAATTAAATAAGGAAGGCTTTGGCTACAAGACAGCAAACAAACAGCAGCTTTCAGTGAAACAGCCTGCAGCATCCAAACCCAGAGAATAATCAGAAACATGTATTTTCAGTCATCATATTGTCACAGTCATGGGAATTGTGGAAAAGGAATTTGACCTGATGATCAGACTGTGAATGTCAGGGTCAAATACCAAGTCCAAAATTATTCAGGATCAAGTTTTAGCTGTAACATCTACCCAACAGCAGAATTTTGCTCTGTTTGATTTTTGTTCTTTTGTTCTTTGCGTGGCAGTAAAAGAGGTGAAGATTCAGATGTGGAAGTCATCAGAATACTTCCAGGAGTGATCTGAAAACAGCAGGGGAGCCATAAGAGAGCTACACAAAGACAGTGAAATTTAGGTCAAATATGGTTTTGGCTCAAATTGGATGGAGTCGTTTACATCACAAACTTAGTTAGTTAGCAAAATGGCATTTTTATTAGCTTTAAAGATAAATAACAGCTGATGCTACTAGAAATAATTTTAGTTTTTCTTGCATTTGATTATACTGGACAATGTTCAAGTCCTTCCACTTGCAAAAGGAGGGATTTGATCATTTCACTTTTTGCAAAGCGTCATAGCTGCATAGATTTTTATAAATATGTGTGAAAAATGAAAACTACTTGGTTCATCTTTATATATTAATCATAAAGCCGGTCCCTGATATTTTTCTCTAAATGTTTTATCCTGTTTGACAAGCCACATTTAAAAACTTAAAGATTGAATCTGATCCTGGGGAACATTTCCTGAAACTTTGTGTTTTTAAAAGGTAATTCTGTTTCTTTGTGCCCCCAAAACATTTGTACTCTGCTCCTGACATAAACTGAAAGTTAGAAAACTACTTGGCTCACTTTTTGTTTTCTCTGTGATTCGGATAGTCTTCATCTGTCAGTCACATGCCTAAAGGCTTTCCTTAGTTTCAAAGGGTACAGATGAAAGGAGGATGACACAGTTGCGTAGCCTTGCAAAAAACACCTTGTGGGATACAAATCAAGGGATGTCAATAAGAGAGAAACTACCTGCAGAGGCGTGGAAAGCATTGGCAAGAGAATCTCAGCCGACTTGCCTGCATCCTTCCATTTTCATCCCTCCACTTCTTTCTGTCGCGATGTGAAGGCAGCCTGCTGAGTGTTTGACTGCCTCCATCTGTGTGGAGCTGCGTGTCTGTGTGTGTCCTGGGTGGGGGTGTTGCTGCTGAGTGTGTGTGTGTGTATTCTTCCCTGCAGCGCTGTGTCTTACCTATAATGAATTTGTCAAGCAATCTGTCAAGACCACCATCACTTGCAGGGTTTCATCAGAGCACAGACACTGATAGTGTCTTACATTGAATTAAAATTAATAGCAAGTCATTTTAAAGGTATTAAGTCTATTTTATAATACAACCCAGTGAAACAGTAATAAGCGTTTGTAAACCTTGGCAATCAGCATGACAAAGAATTATGGCATATTTGAAAAACACGTTTATGATATAATTTAACTCATTTAAATGGCTTCAATGTCACGTACAGTGACTTTATTTAAAAACTGTAACTCTGTCTAATCCTGGCACATTTACAGTGATGTTACATTTATAGTGGTGTTGATTGATATTTACTGGAGAAATAAAATAAAAGTCAGAGCAGTGAGATAGACTGTGGCACTGGTCACAGTTTACATAATGACCATGTTCCCTTATGTAGAGTTATGATGGTCTAAGCCTGGTCAAAAGATGTGAGTGGGTAGTAATACTGTTGTAGAAAAACATTCTTGGAAAGCAACAAATATACTGAAATACTTCACACTAAACATTTTAATGCAAAAGGATAATAAAACAGTTTTTAGGCAATTTATGTTATCAGTTATATAACATGAAGGACCTAAGATATACATACAGTTCTATACAAAGTTTAGGCTTGTCAAAGAGGTAACCTTTGTCCCCTCTCTCTTTTTCGCAGTATACCTCATCTCTGACTTATGATGGTGTCCTTGTAATGGCTGAAGCCTTCCGCACCCTTCGCCGTCAAAAAATCGATATCAGTCGCCGTGGCAATGCAGGTGACTGTCTGGCCAATCCAGCTGCTCCTTGGAACCAAGGAATAGATATGGAGCGTGCGCTCAAACAGGTTGGCTCAATTTCACTGATAGTGTACAAATTTTATAATAGAGTGAATGCTAAATGAATTATCCATTATCACATGTAAACACACAAAAAACAAATGAAATGAACAAAACAAAGAAGAAAGACTAGGATTGTTGCTGATGTAGAATTTTTTATTTTTTTTTGCTTTCTCCTGAAAAGCTGGAGGTAAATAGGTTGTAAATAATCTGAAACAAAATGGTAGCAGAAAAAATTACTGAAAAGGTTTTAAACACTAACTAAACTAATTAAACCATTCAGATAAACTCTTGGTTTTGTGCCTTTATTTTGGAAAGTTAAATCCAAGTGCTTTTATTTTGAAAATAAGGCATACAGTACATGGATGCTCTGTTAGGGACTGCGGCTGTTGTCTGTTGTGAATCGGTAGAAATTTTGTGGTCATAATGTTAAAGTTGTGGAGGTCCCAACCATTTGATGATAAAAACAGCACATGACAGAACAAAATATTATGGAAATAAATGCTTTGGTCCAGTTGTTTTAAAATACTGTATCAACAGGACTTCAATTGTCTCTATGTTTATACTTGTACTGCCGTATTTCTATATCTTATCAATTTATATTAATGTCTCATGTACTTACCCATCAGCGGTATTTGCCTCAGACTTTCAGTGTAATGTTTAAAGTGAAAACGAGACAATATTAACTTTAATTAGACTTGGCCTCTAAAAGCAAAGACAAACTAACGCTTAATGACAACAAATGAGGGGCAACCTAAGAATCAACAGAGAATATTAAACAACAAACTCAAAAACACTGGGTCAAAAACCCAGCACCGTTAAAGTATTTGCATTCATTAATTCTTCTGTTTATAGTTGCTTAGTGGCAGCAGCTAACATTCCCACACTCAATTCAGGTTTTCAGCTTGGGTACAAAGTGTTCATAGGAAACAATGCAAGCGTTTCGTTTGACATAATTGAAATAAATAACGGGTATCAGTCTTAATGTTAACTGTGCATCAAATTATTGCTAATGGAAACTCAATTTTGTCTCTGTTGCAACATCCCGTTGCAGTTATTGAACTATTTGTTTAAGCACCGCTTGCTTGGCTTCACCATGAAGACAAAAAAAGAAGCCCAAGCACTCCTATTGTACTCCTGATTGTTCACTGAGTGTCTGCGATCTTAAACATCTGTATGAACTATTTTAGTTTTATGTTTCTACTGTTACAATTCATCCAGGTGCGCATTCAGGGCCTGACTGGGAATATTCAGTTTGATCACTACGGTCGGAGGGTGAATTACACGATGGACGTGTTTGAACTCAAGAGCAATGGCCCGCGCAAGGTAAAAGTTCCTCATGCATTAAAAAAAGACAAGGACTATAAATTTTTGAGTCCAGATACTCACAGCAATACCATGAGCAAAGTATTTTAGACCGTGTTTCTAAAAAGCCATGTTAAAAGACAGGAAAATACAAAGAAAATGCTGTTTATCTTAATTTGAGCAAATGCGATGCCTCAGCAGGATATATACATAAATCACAATTAATTTAAACAATTCCTGTTAATTTGTATAGTGCTTCATTCTTCATTCAGCCTCCATTCATAAAAAAAATAATTTACGCCATAATTATTTTCATAATTCTTAATTAATAACTTCTGTTTGCAATTATGAATACCATTAGATGACTGCAATCAAACCAGCCATCACAGCTTGTGTATATTAATGGCTTTTTGGAGTACACACTGGAGATCAGCTCGCAGGCAACCTGGGGGTACATAAAATCTGCAGTGACATAAATAAGTAAAGTTTGAACATAATCTGTCTCAATAAGAGAAGAAAGTAAGAGGACAGGATGTCATTTGGAACAGCTTATAAATTCTCTATACTGGAAAATCACATACATGTAGCCCCAATAATAAAGATATAGCACCATGTTCCAGCATCGCAATTGTTCCTTCGACAGCAATGTGTGTTTATTGAAGGTTCTTGGCTCACACTCAATATCTCCTACAGTTCCAATGGGAAATTTCCTGGAGTTTGCTCAATCTGATTTATCTTTCTCTCAGTCTCATTTTCTCCTATTTCGCCTTCTCATTTCCTTTAATGATTCTGTTTTACCTTTTCTGTCTCGATTGTATTGCATGCATGTCGAATTACATTTTGCATAAATTGTGCGAGGGTAAAACTGATTGAAAGTACATTAAACTATATTTTCATGGATGTTTTTTCTCTTTTCCCTCTCATTCATCTTCTCCTACTCCCATATATCCCCCTGTTTACCTCAGATTGGTTACTGGAATGACATAGACAAACTTGTGTTGGTCCAGAATGAAAATGCTCTGTCCAATGACAGCTCGGCTATGGAGAACCGGACTGTTGTCGTGACAACTATCATGGTAATGTACCATCTGACTGTTTTCATTTCTCCATTGTTTGGGTGCTATTTGGGTGAAGCTCTCCTTCAGCGCGGACACTCAGTCGTTCCAAAATACATAGCCTAATGTCACCAGAATCTTGATTTGACTTGAGCACGTATGCAGAGACTTGAAGTTTATGTTGAAAAAAAATTACACACCAGAAAAAATATGATAACCATATGAAATAAGTTTTTATTTTACATTTTTTTCCAAGCAAGATTAGTAAGTGGAAATTGATGGAATAGGAAAACTATAGGCAGAGAATTTCTCATATACAGAACACCCACTTAGAATATTTCACAGGGGATAGGATACACACTAACCAGTCACTTTATTCGGCACCCCTGATCGAGTGGTATAATGCAAATACCTAATCGGCCAATTACATGGAATCGATTCAGTACATTCAGGCATATGGACATAATCAAGATGACCTGCTGAAGTTTAAAGTGAGCGTCAGAATGGAGATAAAAGGGGATTTAAGGGACTTTGAATTAGGCATGGGTGTTGGCGCCAGCTTGCTGATGTTTCAGAAACTGACGACCTCCTGGGCCAACAAAGAATGGCCCAGAAAAGAGAAAATATCTAGTGAGTTGCAGTTCTTTGGGTAATAATCTCTTGATGCCAGAGGTCAGAGGGGAAAATTGCCTGACTTCTAGCTGATTGCAAGGCAACAGTAACACCAGTAACCACTCATTGAAGCCAAAATAGCAGCACATCAATTCGATTCAGTTTGATTGTATAGCCCAATATCACTTGTAACTGTTCGAAAGGATTCACAGGCATAAAAACATTAATGCACAGGATGTCCAACCTTGAAGCAGATGAGCTACAACAGCAGAAGAGCACACTGGCTGTAGCAACTGAAGCTACAATTCCCAAGGATTCATCAAAATTGAACAATCGAAGGTCTAATGATCCTTGATTTATGCTGAAACAAGATGAAAAGCATGGAGCCATCTTCGTGTGGTTGAAGCTACTAGAAGTGACCTAATGTCAGAAAGCTCACATCATCTCAAGCTGGTTTCTTGAATATTGAAAAATACTCAGATTAGCCTCCACCTTTTGCATTTTATCTTCTAATAGCAAGTGAGAATCTTGTTTTTAAGCCGCATCACTCCTTTTCATTGAAGGGTGTCTTGAAAGTACCCTCTAGGTGAACTGGGGCTATTTTCAGTACAATTAAATAAAGGAGAAGTGGGCATGTGTCATCCCTTAGTGCTAATAGAGTCTGCCATGAATATTGCAGTCTGTACTGTGGGGAAACAATGGCCACAACATTAATGTGATAATACGAGGCTAAAGTGCCCCTTTTAAGTGTTGTTAGACTCGTCTGATGGTTCACAGGACGATTGAACCCTTATGTCTGGACAATCTGGCTTTTCAGTCAGCCTCTGGCACACTCTCACCTCAGCCATTGTTTCAGCGTCCATGGGAAGTGTTTGGAAACTTCCACTTATCAAAAAAAGAAATGTTTTTTTAGCTTGGACCCTCTTTGTTTTCTTTTTATTGGTGGGGGCCATACATTATTCAAATGAAAACGGTAATGCGTCCGCTGATTACTGATTACACACGATCGTAACCAGTCAACATATGCAATCACTTTTCGTAGAGAGGGAAGTTACCACAGTTACTTTGTGGATACTGTAGAACTGATAGCGCTTTAAGTCCAGCTCTGTGGTGAGGTTTACCTGTCTTTGTGGTCTTTTTGGATACATTCAGCATCAGAAAGCTGGAGGATGAACTCCAACAAGGGCACAACATGGCACCGTTTTAACACTGAAAGAAAAATCAGCCTGGAAGTGGACGAGCTGGATGAGTTCAATAGAGCCCTCGCAGTACAGCCAGGAGGGAGTGGCACTTGTCCAGCTGGAAGATTTCACTAATGTCTCATTAGTAGGCAAATCCAAAAGTGACCTCAGATCACCATTTAGAAGTGACCTCAGTCCAATCTCTTCTAATAGCTTTCACATAGACACTGCTCTGCAGCCCAGTTTAATTATTCCTCTTTCTTCTACAAACAAGGATAAAGGAGGGCTAATCGGTGGATGTGTGCACATCCTCCGCTTACATTTGATTTCACTTCACCCATCTGCAGCGTTTTTATGGTGGCCATCCCCTTCCTGTAAATGCAATCAGTCTAATTCAATTTGGCATGCAAAGTGATGCAAGTGAAAGCAACTCAAAAGACTAATTTCAGCCCAGAGATAAAACAAGCCACAGATGCTCGGGCTTTAATTCGGTGTTTTGTTTTAAGGCACATTGCATCGTTTCATCCAGAAAACTCAAATGTGACCAAAATATCTGCAGTTGTACTTCGCCATTGCCCTCCCCTCATGCAAATACTTACAAACAGACAACGGCTCAAAGATGTTGATTTGAGAGTGCAGTGAGTCTACAGTGCCTCCGGTGGCCAGATCCAGTCATCACTCCTGCTGGCGCAGAGGAAAACAGCCGCGCATGCTGCTGTAAAGAGTTCAGAAACACTAAATCAGCTGGATTAGGTGTCCCCAGTTTGAGCTTCACCTTCAGCCATGCACATTTCAGCTGGCAATATATCAAACTACACTGCAGTGTTTGGTTTGGTGACTCGAGTCAGGTGCAAGAGAAACATACAAACACATCATCAAGATCAGATACTTAAAAGGGCAATTTAGTAATCTGTGACAGTGCAGTGCTGTTTTCTGTTTATTTTGTACTGTGTCAATACATTAATCTCATTTTGGTTGAAGAGCTGGTGTTATGAATAAATTAGTATGGTGAACAGTGTGTACATGCTTCCGTTGTTTATTTCCATCTGTCATTCTATAATATGTCTGTCATTCATCTGACATTCCAGCACATCTGTCCTCGTACTCCCCTCATCTCTCCTTCGTCTTCTCGATTCTCTGTAACTGTACTCACCTCTTCAGCCTCCCCAAACCTTTGTTTTCTACCTCCATGCCTGCAGTCTTTGCATATTTCTCTGTGGATGGTGACCTCAGCAGGGCTTGACTAATGTTAGCTCAGCCACCTCCTCCTCTTTGCAGCCTCTGGTGATGAGGAAACCTCTGCAGCGACACTGATGCCGAGTCTGCAGACAAACCAACAGACAGAAAACACAGACCCTCGAAAATGACTGAGAACAGACAGCCTGATAGAGTTTCTCTAAAGCTCTTAAATGACTTATCTTTCTTTTCTTTTTTTTCTGTATAACATTTTTTTTTAAATTATTTGGTTCTGACATCATATATTTGCTTAGATGAAGATGGCTAAGAAATAACGGCACAGAGAAGAGACGAGAAGGAGGATCATGGCCCTGTGAGGTTTTGGGCTGACTTGCTCATTGTGCTCCTGTCTTCCTCTCGTAACAAAGCTACCACCAGATGAAAGCTCTGCAATGGATTCTGCAGCGTCTGTCAAGGTTTGACATTTGGTCGCACAAAGTCACCGGACTGTGGAACAACACTGTTAATTTAGATTCTTCTCTTTTTGAGGACAACACAGCTACCACCGTCCTCTCTGTTACACTGCCTGCAGAAGAATTTGCCTTAATCAGATTTCGATTTTATTTTTTACTTGTTTTTTTTTTTTTTTTAAGAGAAGATGTAGATGGAGAGTGACAGGTCTTCACTGTCAGTCCGGCATTTTTTTAAGCACTCACCTTTCTCTCCTCTGTCTTCATCTCTATGCTGTGTCTCTCTGTAAATCTATTCAGTCATGCCTACTCAGTCAACTTTCCTTTAGTGTATTTGAGCTCTTCTGATAGGTTGTTTTTTTTTTTTTTATCTCTTCATCAAAATAAAAGGGTAAAGTAAACCTGTTCTCATAATTTTAGGTGACTTGTTGGGCATTTGTATGAGACAGTGCTATTTTCCATGTCTCTCTATGTATTTAATCTTACTTCCACAGAGACACTGTGATCATTTGTGTACTCTACATGTAAAAGAATAGCATTTTTTAAAAACTATCCCAGAAAATACTCCAAAGCTGACCCTACACGAAAATGGAAATATTGCAGACATCCTCAAGACCCAAATGCTAAAGTAAACATTAATTAGAAACCCAGTTACACAAACACATGAATACATGTGCATCAACAAAGCCCTCACAGATCTCAGAGCAAAGATGAGGGCAGATTGTTAGATGTGTTGCCTATGGTCATTATTAAAGAGTCCTTAACTCTATTCCAGATACACCCATGAGGACATGACTGTGTCTTATTTATGCCCCTGCTTTATAATCATAGTAGTGCAATATATCTGACTTTATATTAGTTAGATTTTAAGTTAAACAATTCTAATCTTAAAAGAAAGAATATTGTTATTGAAAAAATAAAACCAAATCTTTAACGAACCAAAAGGATTGTGCACGGCTGGTCGGTTAGACTTAGTCTGCCTTGATGTCTAATTAGTTGTCTGACTGATTCATATGTTGACAGACAAACTGACTGACTGTTACTGAAGAGGACTTGAAGGACTGGCAGTCTTCGTCTTCTGGTCATTGGTTGGCTGCTCAAATAATCTTATTAACTGCTGAACTGCCCTGCTTTCTTTATGGCTAAATAGCTGGGAGTTAATCGCACTGACCAACTGGCCAAATATGTGACCGGATAGATGATTATGTACTGTGATTGCAGTAATTGCTTAATAAATGGACTGCCTGACCAAGTAACTGACAAAGGCTGTGACTCACTGCCTGCCTTGCTTCTCTGGTCATGTGAACAGATAGCTCGCAGGCTGGTGAGATGTCTCTTGCTATGTAAAAATCTGGCTTTTAAAATGCTGTAATCCAGTTGGGGGGTTGAGGGGGAGTGAATGAATGACTGGACAGTTAGGTTGACTGTCCATTGCATTGGGGTTCGTCTTCTCACCAGGCTAGCTCACTGGCTTACATAGCAAGTCATTTCTGCCTTTTTGGCACCAGAGTGAAGTGTTTCATGTCTTATCAGCCCAAACCATTTGCTTCTACAAAGCTGTTCTCCCTCTCTCACACACCCCTTTCCCTTCTTTGCTTGCTTCTTCTCCATTTTTCTTTTTTTGTCACATTCTCTCTTTCTCTTAATCTCTCCTTCACACTTTCCCCCTTGCTGTTTCTATCGTCTATTCTCCTTGTAGCGATCACTGTTTGTATTCTGATCTCCTCCCTCATCTTTCTTCTGTAGTTTCTTACAGCCAAAACGCCCTGCATCCCTCTCATCCTGCTAGTCTCGTTCCCATTACCATCCTTCTTTCCTTTCAACCTCCTGATTCTTATTTCTTCCTCTCTTCTCCCCTCCCATTCCTTGCACTAACTCATGATGCCACATTAGGCAACACCCAAACATGATGCTTTTTCCCAGCAGTAAATACATGCGCTAACATCTTGTACACACACAAACTCACTCACTCACAGCAAGACAAAAGTGTCTGGAGCAAACTGATAACAAACCTTAAGGAGGCATTAAAGTGATACACTGCCACTTTTGCCAGAGCTTCAGCTAAAATGTGTGTGTCCATACATATAGTATATCCTTTCGTGTGTATCAGCTTACATAAAACTAAATTAACTCAGCAAAGTAGACTTGTCAGACTTCAAGCATTTGACCTTGTAATTGAGATGGCTGCATTCTCCTTAACACAAGCTGACTAAAAGATTCCCGCTGAGAATCAGTGATTAAAGATGAAGCAAACAAGCACTCAAGGTTATTTTTTAAGGAAGGGACCCGATAAGGCGCTTCCATTTCAGGGTCAGCAAAGAAAGTTGTTTGGACGTGACAGGATTGGATTCACAGAATTCACTATAAAGCTGACAATAAAACTAAATAAAATAAATAAATATGCATTAGAAGATATTTCTATTTGCCAACTGCCAAGAGTTTGATTTGGACAATAATGCTGTTCTCCATTTGACACTACAGCATGTGCACGAATATTGTGGATATGATTTTAAGTTGATTATTACATAAACCTTAAACCAATTATATCAGAAACAATCTCAAATTCAAATTAAGCTCCAAAAATAGGAATAGAGTGGTTTATTCAAAATGAAAATGGGAAATAGGTGTAGCAGTTTATTGAAACATGTGCAAAGATACATGGAAATAGAGATATATAAAGAAATAAATAGCTTGTTACAATTCTAACAAGCTTGAAAGGTATGACACCTTAAACGTTCAACACAGTCTGAACTCTCTTAGCTGAACTGTAGTTCTCCAATCTTCTTGAATGACATTCAAAGCTCCACTTTGAATGTTGGCTGCCTTTTTGTTCTGTTCTCGTTCAAGATTATCCCACACTTCTTTAATCATGTTGAGGTCCAGGCTCTGTTTAGGCTAAATCCTGACTGAGAGTGTTCCACTGTGTGTGTTTTTTATCAAGGTATGCTTTCACTGCATTGGCAGTATATTTGGGATCACTGTCATGTTGAAACATGAAACTGTTGCCAATCAGATGCTTACCAGATGGTACCTTTTTTTGTGTTCATAATTCATTTTGAAACGATCCCCAACCCCACTAGCTGAAAAGCTGATCTAAATCACGACAGTACCTCCACCATGTTTTACGGATGGATGTAGAGAGCAACAGAACTATTGCTCAAGACCGCTTTAAAAAATCACTGAGGAGATGTATGTTGTATTTTTCAGCTAATCCTTTGGTTGCATTCATTCCAATGGACAGTTGTGCTAAGCTAACCGTCTCATGGCTGCAGCTTCATAATTAACTTACAGAATTAGAGTGGTATCAGTCTAGCTCTGAGCACATATATGTTAATGGAAACTATTAAGGTTATAGATAGTGCTTTAAACATGCAACCACATCAATCAGATTATAATATTGCATACGTTTGAGTTTCCTTATTTCCTTATATATATTTGTACAAGTTGTCTGCATTACAACTGGTTCCAGCGTTCAAAGCACTTGTACTTTAAAAGATGATTTCCTCACACTATCGCTTTCCTCTTACTTTTTATCCCTGGTATGCGATTGTGATGGCTCTGTGCATCTGTTTCATTTACATGAAACTGCTTTGCTTTTCACATGATTGATGTATAGTTTGTGGAATTTGTGCCCCGGAAGCTGCTAATGTATCTGATAATCATATTTTTGGGAGAAATGTTTTGTTCTTTTATGTTTTGTTTTCTTTGTATGTTATGAAACTGAGCACCAAAGGGCAAATGTTTGTACTTAATGATGATGACGATGATTGTCTTGGTAGTGCAAATGTTCAGCATTAATATTCAACATAAATTAAGAACTGATTTGAATGCTTGGCTTCAAAAGAAACAGATTTTCTTAATAGTGTTTTACTGAAAAGTGGAGAATTTTTTTTTTGCAAAAAGCACCTCTGTAATGTGTATTTGTTTTTGAATTGTCTAAATGTAATGTTATTTTCTGTATGTTTTTTTTTTACCTTGTTTATGTGGAAGAACAAAAAGGTGTGCATGTCCTAAGCAAACTAAAAAAAATGATGATGAACTCATTTAAAAAATAATATTTTAGAAAAAGAAATGTTTACAGCTATCCTAGCAGCTTTTTCAGGTTGTGAACATGCTTAAAATAACAATGATAATACTTTATCTTGATGTTTTCTGGGTTTATTTTATTTTGGTGGTGGCCAAAATCAAAATACCAGACTGGAGTCTTCAGAATGGTAATCCTCAATCCAGTGAGCAGTGTCAGGATGTCCAGCAGAGGCGGTGGGGAATGCTTTTAATTTTCAAGATATTTACTCATAAACCAAATTAGGAATCAGATAATATAAGACAGAAATTCTTCTGCAGTATAAATCATCTTTACATTTAGATAAATGCAAAGTCATTAAATACCCCCACTGAGAAGAATTTCTCATTTTACGCCTCAGTCGTACACAAGTGCACAAGTAAATGGTTTCATTTCAAGCTCTTTGTTTGCTGAAGAGAATAAGGATCAATCTATAAATCCAACTTCCCTTTGAAGGATTTGTTTGTATCGCTCAGCTCCTGTTGTGAGATGGTTTTAATCCCTCTGCATGCCTTCCTTTGAGCTAGACCTTTTCTTAATGTAATTCAATTTCCCAGATTGAAGATTCTCCCATTGATTTCATCCAGATCTGTGTTCTTTATTGCTCATTTGACCTCTTTGATTCATGTCAGCATAAAAATTCTCCTTGATTAAACTGTACTTGAGTTTGGTGTGAATCAATTTCGCGAATGAAGAATTCAAATGTTATCGTTTTGTATGTGTTTTATCGTCCACATTTACTGTTTCATAGCTCGGCCGTGTTTGGTATTATACTGGGCCTGTTTGATTAAACAGATGAGATTAGTCTTTGATTAAAACAGGTTTGATAACATTTTAATAGGCTTTGTTTCATGTGGATTACAGGGTAAGCTGCCTCAGGCATAATACCATTACTCACTGCTTCTGATAGATGCACTGTCACTCAAAAGACTCTCTGCGTCTGTGTGCGTTTCTTTTCTCTGTGGATATCCTACGTGCAGCGATGCATTTGTGCTATTCCTAATACACCGACCACCTCACATTAAACTCACTCTTTTCGCTTTCATCTTTGATAACTGCATGCACAGAATTCATTTCGCCTAAAAGCACCAGTCTCCTCTGCTTTTTCTTCTCCTTTGTATTTTTCTTCCCTCTCATACATTTCTCTCTTCTCAGCATTAGTGTTGCACTAATTCAGGTGAGGGTCCCTGTGGAGTCATGTAGACGAAGGCATATAACACAGTGCTGCAAGTTAGAAAAACAAGATATAAAACTTCACCTTGTAAAAACCATCTGTAATATATAGATATTTTCCCATTTTATCAACTATCATTTTTTATCAAGTTCTGGCTTCTGTGTTTTACTAACAAGGTAGTTTGTGTGTGAGATTTTATGTTACTACACAGTTACTAACACATGAATCTGATAATGTGATGGTGGGTTATATGGACATGGTCCTGTATGTACGCTAAGATATCATAGGGTGATGTGTATGTAGTTTATAAAATTCAGCTGATTTGCTCTTTGGTCTTTTATTCAATCCTGTAGCTTTGCATTATTTTCATATCTTGTAGAGATTTGTTACTCAAAGATTGTTTTTTACAAAAAGAAGTTCAATATAAGCTTCTCCTTAAAATCTATATACATGTCTATTTTTCACAAGAATAACATCAATTTTCTTTGTACGTGTTTCATGCGTGGTGCATTGTTCGTAAGCAGACTGGTTCCTCTTAATTCCTGCCATCATGTTCGTCCAAACAGCTGTCCTTCTTCCCTTATGCTGGTTTTGTAGGAGGGTCCTTACGTGATGCTGAAGAAGAACTGGGAGCTTTATGAGGGCAACGACCAGTATGAGGGATACTGTGTGGACCTTGCCTCTGAGATTGCCAAACACATCGGAATTAAATACAAGATCTCCATTGTACCAGATGGGAAATATGGAGCGAGGGATCCAGAGACAAAGATATGGAATGGCATGGTTGGCGAGCTTGTGTACGGGGTAAGGATGGAAAAATTGCAGCATGCAAGGAATGCTTTGAATTTTGTTCTGGATTTTCTGTTAAGTATCAGAGTATGGCGTTTAAGTGAAATCACAATGACATTACAACAGCATCACAAATCACATCCTGTTATGGTGCACTTCGGTGCCTTTTGGCAAAAACTTCTATAATCTTTGCAGAGGTCGTATGAGCTGCAGAGACATTACATCATGCAATGACTGAGAAATTTTCAAAATGACTCCCTGCAGTATAGCAACTCTCACAAGCTCTGCATCTCCATAGTTGCCAAGTTAGCTTCCCACTGAGATGTAATGTCACGGCAGGTTCACTTATTTCTTGAGATTTTTGCCACGCTGGTTAATTATGCCATATACTCCCAGGCACAGTCTGAGATCTCACAATGCTGTCTGAATACAAACTTTATTTGCACACACAAGACAATGTCAGTCGTCGATTTGACGAAGAGTGAAAGCGGAGACGTTGCAGCAGAACACCGACAGAATTAATTACCCTCCAGAATCTGGAAGGTGACACAGCAGAACATTGACTAATCGGGTTTGATTTGCATCAAACACTCACAGTCTGTCCTGATAACTCTTCTTCCACACATAGAAAATACTGTACTGCACTTGTAGTCTTTGTCTTTTCTTTGTTGTACTTTACCCCCCCGTCTTTGCTGTAATTTGTTTTATCCGTCCCTCTATTGTGCATTAGGTTGAGTGGGTATTTGATATCCTGTCCTCTCTGTTTTCTTTTCATATCACTTCTGTCCTCGTTCTTTTATATTTGCTGTTTACTTTTCTTGTGTTGCAACATCTTTACTCTTTGTAGCAATGCGCTGCTATCGTAGGTTGTTTCACTTACCACTGTAGCTATCATTTAGAATCATGCAATCATTCAGCAGTCTGTGTGTTGAATTAATGGTATTTCTGACTTTTCTTTGGATTTTGTAAATGTGTGTAAGTCTGTATGCACACTGCCTTTCATGTCTACTGTATGAAATACTCCTCTGTCGTTCTGGTATCCCATCACCCGCCTGCATTTCTTTCAACCCTCTGCTCTCCCACTTCTTCTCTCACCTTTGAGTCCAGTTCCCCTTTGCTTTGCTCATTGACAGTTTCTATTCATTATAGCTTGTTTGTTTTATATGCAGTTGATGCAAATTAACTGCAGTAAAAACATGAGAGTGAAGTGAAATCTCAGCCCCACCCCTCTCCTTTGCAGAAAGCAGAAATTGCTGTGGCCCCACTGACCATCACCCTGGTGAGAGAGGAGGTGATCGACTTCTCTAAGCCTTTCATGTCTCTGGGAATTTCAATCATGATCAAGAAGCCTCAGAAGTCTAAACCAGGTGTTTTCTCTTTCCTGGACCCACTGGCCTACGAGATCTGGATGTGCATAGTGTTCGCTTACATTGGCGTCAGTGTTGTGCTGTTTTTGGTGAGTTATTGTTACATACTAGGTGTTAGAATTTGAGCTGGATCCCAGGACTGGACTAGAAAAGTTACTGAAGCCTTGGGTTAAGGGATGAAAGCGCATACAGTAGCTACAGAAGTTAGTTTTTATTGTAAGGTGCTTTTTTACCACACAACTCATCATGACTCTTGATGTCTCTGAGTATATATTTTTTTATGTTTTATAGATTAGCCCTCAATAGCTAATGCATTTAAAAATTTAAGAAGTATGACAGTACTCCCTTTACACTCTCAGCTGAAATGGCATTTACAGTGTTGAAGACAGCTTCTAGGCAGGAAACCATTGGATACTTAGAGGCATCCTCTATGAACAGAAATATCATAATAGTGATGTATGTGAGACATTTAGATGCTCAATGTCAGATATTTAAGACAGCCCACTTCAGCATGCACAAGATCATCATAAGCCCTGTGATACCAGATTGTCTGAATATTCAAGGAAACTGTTTTTCCTCTTTTATATAAATCAGAAATTCACTCTCCAAGGTTTTCCTTTTATCTGTTCTGAGATGTTAAACAGATGTCTCTCGCCGCTTGCTAGCTCAGTTTGCCTCTGAAAACACATTTCTATCATTTTGTATTAACTTCTGTGTGAATAGATTATAGCGCAACTTAAAAAATGCAACCCTACCCAACTAACTCTGTGACCTGTGGACTGATCTTAAACAACAAAAGAAAACAACTCTGGTCAAACCTGAAAATTTAAAGGTGCCAAAGGTGATGAAGACCAGGCAATGCTACTTGCTAGGAAATGGAGTCCACTAATAGCTGATAATCATTTTCAAAAATACACTTCAACAAAAACATCTGCTGTTTAGTTGATAGAGGCCACCATGCTTTGCTGTAATGTTGCAAGCCCATAATCAGTGTTCATTCTCAGCCTCTGCATCTTTTTATTAGCACTACTTGTGCACTATATTATTATTATGAATTTATTAAAAATTCACAGAGTACACTTCAGCCCATGGGCTCATGGTGTCCTGGTCACCAAACATTTGAACATTTCAGAAAAGAAGCGCTCCCAGGCAAGAGCGATTCTTTACTGTAAGCTTTACAAGCAGCATTTGCACCTGGAAATAGCTAATGACATCAGATTTTAAAAGTGGATCAAGGTTTTTGTTTTTATTTATTCTTTTTGTTTGTTTGTTTATTATTACTATTATTATTATTATTATTATTATTAAAGAAGTTACAAAAATTATCTGGATTCAAATATGGCAGTAATGACAGTGTTAGTGAGACGGTAAGTTAAGGTTAGCCAACTTGTGAAACTTTAGCAAAACATAGTTAAGACTCTGGTAAGTCCAGCTCCCATACATACTCCCAGGGGTTGTCTTACTCATGAAGTAATTTGAAAATAACAGCTAACTAATCAGATAATGTTATCAAATGACTATAACCAAAGTCATGTAACAAAGTTACAGGTTACAGTTAACCTTAGCTTGCTAAAGTTCTGGAGTTAAAATTATTTGTGTACATATTAACTGACTAGCCAGTCAAATTACTTCACCAGCTATAGAGGAACGTGATCCATCACATCACACAGTACTGTGTATTTGCCAAAGTTTGATTTAAGGCCAAAAGAATATTCATTGCCTCTATATAAATAAAAAGCCTAATACATTTTTGTACTTTACAGTCACATGTGATAAAGTAGAAAACTGGAAACAAGAAAATGTTGTCTGATATATACTGTAGAGTCAACAATTGTGATTGTAGCTTGCAACCACAAATGTTCTTTTCTGATGACCAATGGCCCAAAAAGCTATTTTTTCCTTATTTTGCTGCTTTCCTTTTCAATGTTTCTCTTGTTTTTTTCTGCCACACAAAAACACTGCCACACAACTGTGTTACCTCAAATGGGTCTGTAACTTTGTCTACACTATTATTATTACTGAGCAATGCAGGGAAATGACGCCAAGCCAGCTACCTGTACTGTAATTTAGCTGCACACCATGTCTACTGTTTTTAGCTTTGTCAAGTCCAAGTTTACTCTGTTGCTATTATATTTATACGCAATATTTAGTATAGATTATATACACTGGTATTGCTGACTTACATCTCTGGTGATTCCTTTAGTGTTCTAATGTTGTGGAAGAGCATAATAACATTGGTGATAGTGCTGTCCGTGTCTCATTACCATGTGGTTAAAAAAGGGGATTTTGACCATTTCAGACCTTGGTAGTCCTGTAGTGTCTTTCTTGAAATTAAAATGAAAACATTTGTGTGCATATTCAAGTCCTTAACATGTTTCAATTTTTCATTTTAATGTTCCTATTCAGCTTTTCTTTTTCTTTAAAATTTTCTAACCACTTTTCTGCATATGCTATCTTAGGTGAGTCGCTTCAGTCCGTATGAGTGGCATGCAGAGGAACCAGAGGAGGGTGCCACAGAGCAGGGCCCCACTGACCAACCTCCAAATGAGTTTGGCATCTTTAACTCCCTGTGGTTCTCACTGGGAGCCTTCATGCAACAAGGCTGCGACATCTCACCACGGTGAGGGAGGGAAATGATCTGTGAGAGACAAACAGAGTGCATTTGTGTTTGCATGTGCGTCAGACTGAGCGAGATCATATTTAAGGCTGTGTACAGGGTGAGTGTGTGGGCTGGGGAGAGCATGTGTGCCTGTGTAACTGTCTGTAATGCTTGAGTGCTGTAGTATTAGACAGTGGTGATTCAGACTGTTGACAAAGTGAATCACCTCTTTTAGCACTTTTCTAGGTTTAACTGAGCTGGGCTGATACACTAAGGCACACACATGCAAACACAAAAACGTAGAAGTGTGAAGAAAACACCTGCATACAGTCCAGTGGTGATGTACATGTGGGTCTGTTATGGTGGAAGATTTAGCAGTTTGCTAGGTGTGTATGAATCTTTAATGCACCACAGAAGAGGCAGAGTCCAGCTATATTTTTAGAATATTTATAAGAATATGCCATTTTATTATTGATAACCTGAGAATGCAGTTTAGTGAAATATTCATTGCCAGCATCCTCAAGACCTTTAGGGAGCAAGTCTAAGGAGAGAAGGAGCAGCAGGGAGCACTTCACACTAAAACAAATGAAAGCAAAGCCTGATGAGTGATGAACGCAAGAAAAACATAGTGTGATCAGTCGAGTTTGGGAGAACAATAAAAAAAACTGTTATTAAGCATTCACGCGTATATGGAAATGGAAGCTTCACACTTTAGGAAGATAAAGTTATTGCTCAACTGAACATTATTCCACCTGCAACATGACATTACAACCCTGTAGTGTTACCTGAAATCGTTAAAACATGACGTTTATCTGCCTGTGGGAGAGTTACACTCTCCTTACATTTTTGGAGATTATCTTTATAGCTGCAATATGTCTTAATGGATTTAGTCTTCCAAGCACAAGACATCGAAAAGAATCCAGTCAGTAAGAACAACACAAATTAGAAGATCCCACATGCTGCAACCCAAGCAACGGTCCATTACCCATACTGGAATCCAGTGAGTGGATCCAGTCCTGGAGTGCTGTGTATATGTATTGATTTGGTACTAAGAGGTCAGGGATGCAACAATGACCTTAAATGTCACAATATGCACTGCAGGGGAAATTTACAGGCAGTCTTTTGCTGTCTTCTAACTAGCCGGGTCACTTCTGGATTTCGTGTCAGCTCTTTGCAGATGATATAGTTCTGTTGGCTTCATCAGTTGCTGGCCTCCAGCTCAAAGTGGGAATGAGAATTAGCTTCTCCAAATCCAAGCCCATGGTTCTCAACAGGAAAGGACTTAAAGTATCTGGGGTTTTGTTCCAAAGTGAGGAAGCGGAAGGTCGACAAACGGATTTGTGCAGCATCTGCATTGATGCAGATGCTGCACAAATCCATTGTGGTGAAGTGAGCTGAGCGTAAAACCAAAGTGTAAAACTACATTGCTACACTTAACTATAGTCGCAAGCTCTGAGTAATGACCAAAGGAGATCATGATTCCATGGGGCAGAAATTGGTTTCCTCTGAAGCATGGCTGGGCTCAGCCTTAGAGAAAGGGTGAGAAATCTAGTCATTCTAGAGCTGCTGCTCCCCCATGCCAGAAGGAGCAAGTTGAGATGGTTAGGGCATCTGATTAGGATGCCTCCTGGGCCTCCCCTAAGCAAGGTGTTCTGGGCATACTCGGTGGAGGGCCCACAGTATGCACAGGAAACTATGTCTCTCAGCTGGCTTGGGGACAGTTCCTCTGGATGAGATGAAGAAGGTGGTTGGGATAAACGAGGGATGGATGGATGGATGGATATACTTATACTTAAATATACTTAAAGAGGAAAGCTTTTCCTGATTTTACCTGAGTTTCAGATTCTGTTACCATTTTTTATTTCTTAAATTATTTCTTTTGCAGCACTTCAATTGTCTCTGGTGCTTGTTTTATTTTGCTCACTAATCATTTTACTTTGCTGCTCCTGCAAAGGACTTCATATCACAGATCTTGAAAAGTGGTATATGGCAAACTTTATCATTATTCGTTATTTTCTTCTTCTCAAGGACTATTCTGCGGTTTCTGAAATGAATTGACATCAAGAATCGCTCAGACATTTGTGCTGCATCTCCATTTGCATTTCTCTTTCAAAAAAAGAACAAAAGTTTCTTTTCATCCCCCCAAACTTCACTTTCGTCCTCCTCCTCTTTTGCTCCTCTGCCCTTCTCTTGTGCTCTCGCATCCATCTCTTTCATACGCTCTCCTTTTCTCTCTCCACTTCCCGACACATGTCGTCTCCTTCTTCTCCCCACTTTACTGTGACTGACAGGCCAATTCTAGCCTTAGCACACAAAATGGAAAACACTCACATCGGCTGCGCGCACAACCACTCAGAGATGCACGGTCATACAAGTTGTGCACACGAATAAACAGACACTTTACAGACTTTGCTTTCCTTATACACACACATGTAAAAGAACAAAACAGCCAGCGTACAGTTTCACAACAGTCCAACACACACATGTGGACCTTTCTGTCACTTGCAGGTCCTGAGTATAAGCTACAGCTGTCATATCAATAATGTGATACTTAACATGAAGCCAGTGTTCGTCACATAAATCACTACAGCCTGTCACTTCCAATATAGCACAACGTCTCCATAGGCCAGGATTACAGCGGCCGCAAATGCCAGATTATATTCTTACAGTAAGAAATGTGTTTAGTTTATCTTATGGATTTTTCAAACAAATCTTGGCAATTTAGGCTTAAGATTTTTCCTCATAGTAGCACCTCCTACAGTTACAGTTGATGAAGTAAATGCACTTTGATTTACACTGTATCAACATTTTAGTCTCACAAGATACACAAGGACGGGTACATTTGCTGTGTTTCTCCACTCTGATGGCATTTGGTTTTCAATCCCCTGTTTTTTTACACAGAAATGAGCTTTGGAGATGCATATCTCTTAATTGTAATATTGACAATATGGGGACATACCTGGTGTTTTCTAATAAGAAAGAAGAGGCCAAGGAGAGGTGAAAGCATTCAGTGAACAGGCGCGAGGTTAATGATGGAAGCACAAATGAAAACAAAAGTATATTAACTCTTGACCACACATGTTTAAATAGATAGCACTCAATGTTCCCAATGGCTTTGTCCATATATGTGGTGCTTTATATGGGCTCTTGCTGAAAACAGCGTGCTATATATAGTGAGTCAAGGGAGACAATGTATTGCTGCATGCTTACAAATAAGAGCAATGGTGTCTGTAAAAGACTTAACTTCTCTGAATCATGAGGCTTTGCGGTTTGGCAAATGTCATTCAGATTGGACCAATGTCATTCAAAATACAGCAGCAGAATTTTCAATGGACTCATATTTTGGCCAGTGGGTGTTAAGGGCTTAAAGTGACTTTTAGCGTTATGGGTGAGATTATTTATAATCAAAAACCTTTTACAGTCTGCCCAATCTTTTGCCCAACCTATGCATCTCGTGCTAAACCATGCATCCCTGCACCGTGATTAGCATCACACCCCTTTCTTACAGCAAACACTAAGGCTGCTGATTATAGCAAAGGAGTCTCAGTAAGGGGAGGAGAAATTTGCTATTGTCCCTCTTAATCTCTCTTCATGTGGCCCTAACGTGCTCTCCCGTATCTTTCTCCCAGTATTTCTTTTGTCATTGGGAGCCACGGCTGAATGAAGCCAAATTTTACTGTTTTTAATGTGCCAATTTGGCTAGATAGCAGTGTCTGTGACTATAAAGCTTTTAAATTTAGGTTGTGTTCATGTAGTAGCATTATTCCACATGAAATCACGGTCAAAGAGTTTATTAGTCATCAGACTCATTGATGAAAAAATGAAATAAGCCCGGCGACCAGGCTTTTTGCCATAAAATCATGTGATGGATGAGCCTCTTTGACACTGTGCTCTGCAGAAATACTAGATCATGTCCTTAGAAAAGGAGACGTGTCCTGCATATCATAATGTCATATCACTTTTCTTTCTCCTCAGTTCATTTCCTTTAATCTCACATTCCCTTGTTCACCTTTGCAAGCAGGCAGAATCATAATGCTAACTCAAGTCACACCTGACAGCAGAAATGTGCTACAGCTACAGTGAAGACAAGGTATTTATGTATTATCATAACACAGACTGTAACCCCCCCCCCTTTTTTTTTTGCCGAGATGCCTTCAAGTTTCCTTGTATTGAAAATATCCAATAATCTTTTACTTTTATTACAAATTTAAGGATGTCTTATGCGTATGTTACCGTGATATCTATATGCAGTATCACATTCCCTCTATTAGCTGTTCAACCATATCAAAAAACAACAAAATGAACTAAATGATAATAAAGGCAAACATAACAGAATTTCTTGCAATGTTTGTACGAGAGATCAAATCCACCCATACGGAAAAGAAATAGTAAAAACTTATATGTGATTTACTCATGAAAGTGGCCACTTTCGCATTACTTTCACACATTGTTTTAGTAAGTATCCAAAACATACAAGTTTCATTATATAATTTTTCAAGGGATCTTATATCTGTTTTCACACTTATATGCTTTTCATACAAGTTTCACACAAGACAGATACAAACTTTATAAGATTTATATATATCTTTTCCATATGGGCAAAGAGACTGTATATAAACAAAATTTGAAAAAGTATGTATATATGCATTATTTTTTAAGCTTTATGACTTCTTTGGGCAAGTAACCCTCTCTGTGACACAGTGGCTCCAGATAAATATGTTATGTAAAAATGATGAATTGAAAACAACCAGAAAAACTGAAGAAAGTTCAATTTTGAGTATTGTCCACTGTAGGTAAAAACACTATGGTAGCATTGCTGGAGCTACGTCTTCTTTCAGACTTTACATGCTGTACTTCATTCTGTTATGTCTACAGTTACTTTATTTTCTCTGCAAATTATTTTGCTGAAGTCTTTGAAGAATCTAATTTCTTTATTGTTTTCCATCGTTTTTCATCATCCATATGTCTACTCTGACGATGGGACGCCTATTTTTTTGCTCAGGCTTTATCCTCACTTTCCT